TTATATTCATTGCAAGTTGACACGAGAAAATTGGTTAAAAATCCAAAAAATAGCCCAAATCATACACAAGTAGTATATTGAAAATTAAAAAATAACATCGGCGTAAAGAATTAGTAAATACGAAAAGACACTGACCGGAACATGAGAGTCCCTGGCACTGCGTTTGGCATCAGTGGCTGAGAAAACAGTGTAAACAAGCACAAAGGTACCGATAATTTCGGCCCCAAGGCCAGAGCCCTTGGTGTATCCGTGGGCCACCACGTTCGCCCCTCCACCATTGCTCTGGTAAAGCCTCTGACCGAAGCCCTTCACCACACCAGCACCACAGATGGCCCCCAAACACTGCATCACCATATAGAAAACTGCCCGGGTCAGAGACAGTTTTCTGGCCAGGAACAGCCCAAATGTCACTGCCGGATTAATGTGACCACCTGCACAAAGTAGTACACAATATTTGAATCAAATTTATTATAGTTTGGAATCCAATTATCTTCCCATGGTTACAAAGAAATACCATTTCAAAGTTTAATTTGATCAATTAAATACAGAATTGGAATCGTAAGATTAACTTATCCATAACTACAACCAAATTCTAGTGAAGCAGCTAACATTAACAATCAGGAATCCACATAAACCAATAAATTAACAGATTGAAATTAATTATGCAGAAATTCTCTAAAAAAAACTTGATAACAATCACCAGAGATCCCGGCTGTGCAGTAGACAAGGGCAAATATCATGCCGCCAAAAGCCCAGGCGATGCCCTGTATCCCAACCGTGGAGCACTTGGATTCGGACTTGCTAACTCCCATCACCGTCAGGATAGTGATGTAGAGGAAGAGGAAAGTGGCTATGAACTCGGCTATCCCGGCTCGGTAAAACGACCACGAGGTCAGCTCCCCAGGCTCGAACAGAGGCGCCGGAGGCGGTTCCTTGTAGTCCCTGTCCTCGCTCTGCGCTGCCGTCCCGATCGGCTGCCTCTCGGAGAATTTGTTGGCCCCGACTCGCACGTCCTCCTCTTTGTTCTCCATCATTCACTCTCACAAGTACCAAAACCAGAAATTAGAAAATTCAACAACTCTTAAAGAGAGAGATAAATGAGTAGAAAGTGTATATGAGCTCGAGCTGGTGTTGTGAGGGTATTAATAGAGGAGAATAGAGGGAAGGAGAGGGCCCCGGTGACCTCCATTGATGACTTCAATTTTTCATTATGATACAAACCGACCATCAATTGCGTGAATAATTTTTTTGAGTAGAGAAGAAAAACAAGAAATAAAAAGACATTTGGGGGTATTGGGTCGGCTGCGTGTGTGGTGTGTTGAATGAATGATGGCCACACAATTTTGCATAACCTTCAATTGTTGACGATGATGATGGCCCACACTAGTAAACTAGGATGTGTGTAGCATTAGAGTAGAGATAATCTATACTAATATAAAAGGATTGTTGGTAAAATCATTTTTAGTAACTTTGATCAAAAAAAAAAATGGGTTGAGTTACTATTAGTAGAAACTTTGAAAAAATATGGAGATCTTTAGTAACAAAATCTAAATCTCATTTTTCTGTAACAAATTTGGAGATTCTTATGCCAAAATCTGAATCCTATTTTTTTGTTGTATCATTTTTTATTCTTTACCAAATATGAATCCTATTTTTTTGGTGACAAGTTTGGAGATTCACGAAAACAAATTCAAATACAAATTAAATTAAAAACCGTGCAAATTGAATACAAATTTAAGAAATAAATAGTTGTATAATTCTTAACAAATTCTTTCAATATTTTTTAATAATTATTTTTTTTTTTAAAAAAAATGTGTGCAAATTGGATAAAACCACATGCAATTTTTATTTTAAAACAAAATTAAAATTTGGACGGGATATACATTCAAAATCGTATCCACCTTTTGGTAACAAAATCGGTTTATCTTTGACATTTACAATCAAACCTTATTCAATTATTTAGGAAAGAAAATTCAAATCAAATCATATGCAACTTATTAAAATTTGAATAAACTGATGTTTTTGGATTCTTATGTTTTTCTTAAGCACGTTTTACCGAGAAACAGTTGCATAAATCTTAACAAAATATTTCGATCTTTTTTTAGAACTAATTTCAATTCAATTTGTTTAGTCGCTGCAACGTTAGAAAAATTTGGTTCCATTTTAGAAAAAATTGATGATTTTTTGTTTCACTTTTTTTAACCAAACATTCAGATCAATTTGTTTGGTAAAAAAATCAGTATATTGGTATGAAAATTCGGTTGAATTTTTAGGAAAAAAAAATGATTTTTTTCAATTTTACTTAATCAAAAATCTGAATTAGAATTAAAAAGATGGTGTGAAAACACCCTAAAAATTTCTACTTTCTTTCTACTATAATTTTGTTTAATAAATAAGATCCCTTAATTTTTTTAGAAAAAAATATAATTTGTTAATTAATAACTAATAATACATAATTTTAGATAAAATTCAAACACTCATATAGTATTTTACGTTCCAAGAAATCAAACTAAGAATGTTATACATAAGAAAGTGGTCAATAATGTATAAATTTCGTTCTCATGTTATTTTTAATGTCAATGGGACAATTTAAATACAAAAAGTACATTTTAAAAACAAAGTAGGTAATAAAGCTCCCATGCATCGCACGGGTACTGTACTAGTACTTGATAACGAGTTTGTTGTAAAAATACATTAATAGAAAGTTTGACCAAATAAATATAATGTTTGACTTACTATTAATGGAAAATTCAAAAAACACATGTGAATCTTTACTAACAAAATCTAAATCCTATTTTTTTGTAACAAATTTGGAGATACTTATGGCAAAATTTGAACCCCATTTTTTTCGTATCATATTTTATTTTTTTACCAAAATTTAAATCATATTTTTCTTATAACAAATTTGGAGATTCTAATGCAAAAAATGTGTCAATTATTTGTGAAAACAATTCTAAATACAAATTAATTTAAAAACCTTGCAAATTGGATACAAATTTAGGAAGAAAATAGTTGTATAATTCTTAACCAATTCTTCCAATCTTATTGAATAATTTTTTTTTAAAAAAAAAATGTACATTGAATAAAGCCACGTGCAATTTTTATTTTAAAATAAAACTGATATTTGGACGGGATGTACATTCAAAATTGTGTCCACATTTTTTGGTAACAAAAGCGATTCATCATTGATATTTAAAGTCACCTTATCTAATTATTTAGGAAAAATTGTGTGCATCATTTCAAAATTTAAATGCATCGATTGTTTTGGATTCTTATATTGTTTGTTAACCATGTTTTATCGAGATTTTGGTAAGTTCATATCATTCTTTTTTTGTTAAGTTCATATCATTTTCTTTAGGAAAGAGACAGTTGCATAAACATTAACAATTTATTTTAATTTTTTATTAGAACTATTTTCAATTCAATTTGTTAGGTATAAAGATCAGTGCAATGTTAGAAAATTTGGTTGCATTTTTTAAAAAAATGATTATATTTTATTTGGTTTAAAAAAAATCGGATCAATTTGTTTGATAAAGAAATCGGTTTAATGGTAGGAAAATCAGTTTCATTTCGATGAGTAACTAATGATTCTTTTAAATTTTTCTTAATTGAAATTTAGAATTAGATTTCAAATAAATAATGAGTGAAAATCCCTAAAAAATTCTACTTTTTTTTCTGCTTTAATTTTGTTTAATAAATAAGATCAATTTTTTAAAAATTTGTTAACTAATAAATAACAATATGCAATTTTCGATAAATTCGAACACATAAGTAGTACTTTACGTGCCAAAGAATCAAATCAATAATGTTATACATAAGGAAGTGTTTAATAACATATAAATTTTATTTTCATTAAATTTTTAATGGCATGAGACAATTTAAATGCATCGATTTTTTTGGATTCTTATGTTTTTTCTTAACCATGTTTTATTGAGATTTAAGTTCATATCATTTTTTTTTTAGTTAAGTTCATATCATTTTCTTTAGGAAATAGATAGTTGCATAAACATTAACAATTTATTTTAATTTTTTATTAGAATTATTTTCAATTCAATTTGTTTGGTACAAAAATCGGTGCAATGTTAGGAAAATTCAGTTGCATTGTTAGAAAAAATTGATTATTTTTTTTATTTGATTTAAAAAAATCGGATCAATTTGTTTGATAAAAAAATCAGTTTACTGGTAGGAAAATCGGTTTTATTTCCAGGAGTAACTAATGACTCTTTTCATTTTTTTAATTGAAATTTAAAATTAGATTTCAAATAAATAATGGGTGAAAATCCTAAAAAAATCAACTTTTTTTTTCTACTTTAATTTTGTTTAATAAATAAGATCCATTAACTTTTTTAAAATTTGTTAACTAATAAATAATAATATGCAATTTTCGATAAATTCGAGCACCTATGTAGTACTTTACGTGCCAAAGAATCAAATCAATAATGTTGTACATAAGGAAGTGTTTAATAACATATAAATTTCATTTTCATGAAATTTTTAATGCCATGAGACAATTTAAATATAAAAATACCTTTTAAAATATAATTAGTTAATAAATGCTCCCGTGCATCGCACGGGTACCGTACTAGTTATATATTCTGCACCAAAAAAAAAAGAGTAGAGATAATATATATTATTTTTTATTGCAAAATTATCAGATTTTAAAATTAATTGTAAAATTATCAGATTTATCAAAACTAATTAATTTAAATATGCAGTTAATAAACTATAGAATTAAATGTAAACTTACTCTTATCTCTTCATCTCCTTCCTCTCTCTCTTCACTTTTTTTCTTTCTCCCTCTCTGTGTTTTTTTTTTTGTTTTTCTGATCGGTGGAAGACGGCAATTGTAAAAAATAGAAAAGAAAAAAAACCTCCGAGACCCGTTCAAAATCACACATGCAGCTAGACGGAAGGTACATGATCCCGACCGGCGGACAAGGTTTTGCCAGAGACAAAAGCATGGTGCCGGTGGATGGGAAAGGTGGAGAAGTCGACGAAAGACGTTGCGTTTAGAGCGTGTCATACAACAGTTCCTATACTTTGGGGATTCTTCCTCATCGGCATTTTCTAAAGACCTCTAATCACAAAAAAAAAGGAACACTAAGGAAATGATTCACGACAGCTAGAGGCGTATATAAGCGGCGGAGGAACGATAGATCCGTCGGCCAGTGGTCGGGGAAGAAAAGTAGATCCGCGAACAGCTTTCTTTATTCCCTTTTTATTGTGAACTGGTGATGAGAATATATGTGTCATGTATATGGTGTATATGTTCAATATATTCTGTATATATATTCTGTATAAACTAATTCGATAGATATTATGTATATATCTTCTTTATATATTTTTTGTATATATTTTGTATATATTACGAAAAGATCGTGTATTTTGTGTTTGATATGTTGATATGAACTAATCCGTGTATATTTTGTATATATATTCTGTATAAACTAATACGATATATAATATGTATATATCTTCTTTATATATTTTCTGTATATATTCCGAAAAGATCGTGTATTTTGTGTTTGATATGAACTAATCCGTGTATGTTCTGTATAAACTAATTGGTGTATATTTGTGTATATTTTCTTCTCGCGGTTTTCTCATCAGTTTCTGGCCGTGTAATTTGAAATTTGTAAGTTTTGTTTTTTATTGGAATTATTTTCAATTTAATTTGTTTGGTACAAAAATCGGTGCAATGTTAGGAAAATTCGGTTGCATTGTTAGAAAAAATTGATTATTTTTTTTATTTGATTTAAAAAAAATCGGATCAATTTGTTTAATAAAAAAAATCAGTTTACTGGTAGGAAAATTGATTTCATTTCCAGGAGTAACTAATGATTCTTTTCATTTTTTTTAAATTGAAATTTAGAATTAGATTTCAAATAAATAATAGGTGAAAATCCCTAAAAAATTCTACTTTTTTTTCTTCTTTAATTTTGTTTAATAAGTAAGATCCTTTAATTTTTTTAAAATTTGTTAACTAATAAATAATAATATGCAATTTTCGATAAATTTAAGCACCTATGTAGTACTTTACGTGCCAAAGAATAAAATCAATAATGTTGTACATAAGGAAGTGCTTAATAACATATAAATTTCATTTTCATGAAATTTTTAATGCCATGAGACAATTTAAATATAAAAATATCTTTTAAAAAATAATTAGTTAAAGCGTTTTTAAAATTCTCTCGTATGGGAGCAGCGATTCCTTAGCATGAAGGCGTTTCATTCCTTAGATTGAGGGTTTTCATACCTCCTTTTGAGGATTCTTCTGTGTTTTCTGGATCCAAACGCTTTCTCACGGT